TCTATGTTTGTCGATCGCGTATAAGTCGCACGCGCTTTTTACCGGCGACACGTATACGCGGCGCGCATTTCAACGCGTTGTCCGAGGCGCACGTTAGGCACATTACGCGTAACGCGAACTTCTCGCGCATTGGAAAAGTTGTTTACTTTAAACGAGTCCATCAAATGTTGGTTACTATCATTTGGATGGATTGATTTGTCAAGATAGTAAAGTTATAGGGGATTATTTGTTGATTAGAATTAGGATCGTTGATTAATTAAGAGGATCGAAGAATTTTAGGAGTTTAAATAAAAACAAATTTTCAATTGTTTATTAGAAATTTAATGAATTGAGATGGAGCAGATAGTAATGAAATTCTGAAGCTAGAAAATGAAAAATTAGAACTATCAATAAATTAAGAAATTAGAATTCAAAGAATATGAAATTAATGAAAGATTAGTTAGTTAGATTCGAAATTGGAAATTAGGTAAAGATTAGAAAATCGGCAGATAGTTAACTAGAAATGAAAATAGCAATTAAAAAAAATTTCTATTTTCGATTTTTTTTTTTTGCGATTTTTATTTGCGATTTTTAAAACGCAATATTAAATCTTACTTTATGTCGTCAGAATTATTAAAAAATGAATGATCAAATGGTAAAACTTAGATCATGAAGAAATTAAAATTGAATGAATCATTCGTCTCTTAATATTATCTACCGGTTTCAGAATATTTAATAGTTTTATTAGTTACATTCACTGAAGATTGACGTAATAATACGTGCATTATGAAAGCTATCCGACTAAGTTGCTCAAATAATTTGAAAGTCATCCAATCGAATTACTTTATGACTCGATGTCAATCAGGTATCCAATATCTTAAAAGCTCTAACACATTATATAAGTTAGATATTCAGTAACCATTCGGTAAAATATCTTATCTATGCATCGATGCTTCCTTCTTTTTGACATACTCAATTGAAAAGAGTATTCTTTCAATTGTCTTTACATAAACACATTTTATTCTTTAAAATCATAACTTTGTATCGCATACAAAGTTATAAGTATCCTCATTGATAATATTTTCAGTTTCAATCAATCATTCATACATACATTACATTTAACATTTCATAAAAAAATAAATTAAACAAATATTATTCGAATCATACGTTCCTCGTCAATCTTCCTTGAATATGTATCTGTTCTATTCACTGATACATTACCTTTGATGGATTTGCGTTCCCAGAGGGTTGAACATCTCGTCAGATGTACTGCATATGCACCCCTTATTCATCAACCTGTGTACATAAAAATTACTTAGAATAGGTTCGAGTAACAAAGCGAAAAGGAATAAAAACGAAACAGCAGGTCGCGTCACATAAAGAAAAGGCATCTCATTTTGAATCTTCCACGATGGGAACGTCGTTTCACAGTGTTGAATTTCATCGGTTTCTTCAAGACAGATTCAATGAAAATAGGGGTACATTGTCGGATAGATGGGTATGAGATATCGGGGTAAAAAGCCCAAAACGAAAAAAGTCTACGATATAGACCGAAAAATAAGGAAAAAACACTAAGCGTTGACTACTGTTTAAATCAAAAGAGAAGATGACTTGTCTCGCGCCATTTTATTTGCTTCCTCGAGAACGAATCTCATATGCAGAGAGAAAATAGTGAGAGAGAGAGAAAAAGAGAAAAGAGAGACTAGCCTTTGATCGATACACGCTCGAACCACGGTCCTCGCCCCTTGACGACGTGCTTTTTTGCATTCGAAGTGGCCTACAGCTGGAGGCACAGCTGATGGGATATACCCATGAGTTTGGGGGTTGAGCACATTTCCCACCCTTCTTCCAGGTCAGGGGATAGTTTCGTCGACGTTCGGTTGTAATCGATTTATCCCGGCTTTGCGACGATCGTATCCTAACCTAACATTGTACATGCTGAAAGAAAAATATTGAAATTCAGAAAGATGTAATTAATTGATGCAATTAGAATTTTAATATGATTTCGTTTTGCGAAAAAATGATATTCTTTTTTATAAAATTTTGTTCAAAATATGATTAGAAATGTATCTGGTTTGTCACTTTTTTTTTGTACAATAATTCTTGGAAAATTTATATTTTTAACATACTTATTTAACTTCCTTTATATATATGATGTACGTATATATTAAAATTGTTTGAAATTAACATTTGTTTGAATTCTCATGATATTTCGAAAAATATCTCCAGTAACGAAGTAACTACTAAATCATTCCGCAAACACGAAACATGTGTATTTGTCGGTCAATAAATACTTCTCGACAAGTTAAATACACATATACAATCATCACTGTCCTTAGTTTCGTATTTCAATGAAAACATATACAAGGTAATCTACTTAACGTCGTCTCGATTTGTTCGATTCGTGAACAAAAGTATCGAACGCGATTGTGCGCAGTTATATTCGTGACAAACAACGGAGAAGATAGGTGGCGGAACGAGCAAAAGCACAGGAGAAAATCTAATATGGCCGTTGGGCGCGTAATGAAGCTACCTGTTTTCTCGAAGACAGAGAAAGGGAAAGAGACGGAGAAGCACATGTCTCCGCTCGTCCGGTTGAGAAAGGTTTGAGGTAGGTCGATCGACGAATGACTCACCCTTCGGTTTCTCTCGAGAACGATCGAGAGAGCCACTCGTTGGACGAAGTGGCTGACTTCCACGGTGGGCAGCACGTCCCATTATATTCGCTGTGGCTCATTAATATCGTGACATCCAATATCGTGTAATTATAACTGAACCGTGCTGTCCGCGTAAGTCCCGTAGACCATATATATGACACTTATCCATGAACCAATAATGAATCATCGGCCATGGGTTAAGCGTGCCTCGTTATTTTGCAACATTCTTCCATATTGGTTTCAGCTTTAACTGTTGTCCAGCGTAGTACGATAATTGGCCGCCAACAATGGTGCGCACTGCGGTCGAGAAGCGAGAAAACCAATTTGACCATGAGAAGCCATTTTGTGTAAAGTTTACGAAAAGGAATATTCAAGTTTTATTTCGTATTGTTCGAGCTATAAGTGTCCTTTGATGGCGATGAACATAGATATTCATAGGTGTTATAAACCGGCTAAACGATTGTAAAGATGGATTGTTTGTATCTTTTCGATATAACGCATTAAATAGTGATCGAATCCTATTTTGACGAAAAACGTATTCAAGATAGAGAAACCAATGTGAATTTTTCGTGTAAAGTGTAGTGATAAATAGAAAGAAAGAATAAAATACGATTTTTCTAAGTGATTTTTATTGGAATGTGGTTTCCATATCATCTTTATTACTCGTGCATATCTACGAATCCCTTCGTCGTCGAATAAATACCGCGTCCTTCATCGTAACATGACCGAGAGCTTGGCCATTTCTTTCGTACTCTTTCCGACGACACGTAACACGTTCCCGCGGTCTAGAAAATCAACGGTCTTTCGTAATCTGATTTTTCTATCGCGAGACTTGAGACGGCGCACAATGTATCCTATAATATGTGTATATGTGTGCTCAGAATATTCTCTATGGAACACGAAACACACACCAATCGTCGCGTATCGGGCCGGATAGCGGACGTATCGAGTAGAGTGAAGAGAGAAAGAGAATAAAGGAGAAAGAAGCATCGGGCATAGAGAAAGAGAAAGAGTGGAAGAGAGAGATAAGCTGAACGTGCGGATGAAAAGAAAGGGAGAAGAAAGAAAGACTGGTGACGGAACAGAAACAGAAAGAGAGAGAGAGAGAGAGAGAGAAAGAAAAAGAAAGAGAAAGAAGAAAGAGTAGGAGGAGAATGAACGCAGTTGGGCGGCCGTGTCAGTGGAGTTCAATCTTAATATAGTGTGACCCCCACTGCCATTCGAGACACTGTCGGATGCAACTGCAGTTGCAATGCCTGTACGAGAGAAAGAGAAAAAGAGTCGGTATCGGTAGGCGAAGAAAGAGGGAAACGTGACAGAAAGAGAGACATTAGCGGTGGGAGGGTAGGAGAGAAAGCGAGAAAGAGAGGCCACAGTGAACGGGTGCGTGCATTGCACCTTATTCCCCTGTCCGACGAGTGTGCTTCGCTCGGTTATTTCAGAGACATCGGCCCCGAGAGTGTATATATATGTTATATTCACACATGTGGATACCATGTATATATATATAGATACATCTATAGATCGTGTACGGATACATATGAAGTGAATAGATACGGACGTAAGTGCGTGTGCGCGAATCACACATACGCGGTGAAGCGACGCGTGCATACGCGCGAGATTGTTCGGACGAGTGTCATCGATCTATTTCGAGAAGAGGTTGGAATTTCTGGCCTTCGAGAGAGGTCAGAGAGGGAGATAAAGGAAAACGTATAAGAGACAGAGAAAGAAAGGCGAAAAAAAAGACAGGAAAATAGAAGGAAGAATGTGCACATGCACCTGTGCAATGCATCCGCACGACTCGGTGGTCGGCGTACGAGTGACCACGTCTCGTTTCTACCTAGCTCGCGAGCCAATGCTCACTTTCAAAGGGCTTCTATGATTGGTGCTGCGTCCGGCCAATCGGTGACTGGTTTTCCTGGAAGCTAGTGAGTATCACCATGACCGTACATTCGAACACGTTGCACGTCGATCACGATGAAACTTTGTACATTTGTTTCTTCAATTCAAAATTTTTCTAATTTATTTATATTTATATATAACGGCGTTTTTAATCTATATTATTAATTTTTCAAAATAATCTGCGACTTTAATTCTATTTTTGTTATGAAATCTATAATTAGTTCTAAATATAAATGAAAAAAATTGGAAGAAATAAATAAAAGTCCGTCATACGATTGACGTAGTTTTGCTCGTTTTTTTGCTTAGTCTCCGTCGCGGACAGTTAACTACTCATAGAGTTTATCGATGTTATTGGAGTTTCCTCGGATGTTCTAGCGACTTGGTCACTATGTGGGGGAAAGGGGAAGACCGTGAGGCGATGTGACAAGGAAGGGACGATATGGCGCGGAAAGGGAGGAGAGAATAAAGTGGTTGAGGATCGGACGATGGTGGGGCAAGCGGTGGTACTCGGCCGTTGCATTGTGGGGGTGTTGGCCTTCAACTTGACGGCGCAGTTTCACTGACCTGCCTGAGAAACTCGTGATATCCGCGCGGCTCGTGCCCCACGAGCGGACGTACCGACGCACGAATGTCCAGAGATGCCAAAGGGTACCGCTACTTAAGGGCCCACGAATCCTAAATAAACTTACCACGATGTAGCGACCGATCTTTTTCTACCTGAACATTGTTTCATATTCATTCCCTATAATCAACGGTATGGTAATTGAAGCTTTTTTAATGTAATGGAATGCTCGTTTTCCGGTTTAGAATGGATTATCGATATATTGAACAATTCTGACATATTACAGGATCTTGTCAATTCATTAATGGAATGCTTCAGATCTATTCCCCCTTTTTTTTTTTAACTAAAACGGTAAAATTTTTTCGTAGTAGTATAATAGAGTTTTTAAATATCTAAGTTTAATTAACTATACAAGATTATTAATAAATATAGATTTTGAAATATTTGTGAATGAATATTATAAATAATATTATAGCCTAGACTGTTCATTGGTTATGTTTGCACGTTATATAGGATATTTAAAAAAAGAAGCTTCCAGCATTTTGGTCCACCAACTTTCGCAGCTGTTTAAACGAACGATTCCAATTCCTCGTCGTTCTTTTCGGGTCGACTTATGTCGATATCGCCCACGGTCGTCGGCGAGTCGCCGAGGAAACGACGAGTGCCTCTCGGGCGAGGCATTTGGTGGCTGTAATTAAAGCAAAAGACGAGCAGATGGCTCCCCGAGTTCCTGTCCCTCTTGTACGATTCTTTTCCCCTTCTCCTCCCCCCGTTCAAAAATGCAACCTCGCGTGTTTCCAAGAAGTACGATAATTCTGTAAGATTTTCCGCCAGGAGAATAAATATTCTCTCTTCTGAAAGTCAAAACGTTTAAAGTCATCATACATCTCAATCTGACGGAAGCTGAAACAAAACGGAGGATGTTGAGAACAGTTTCACAAACGACGAAGAATTTTTGATACCGATCAATCCACACGCGTAATCCCTGCATAATGGCAATCGTATCGAAGTAACGAGCTTGGCAACTTCATCATGTAATAGATATTGCAAATCTGTCGATAACGTTGTACGTGAACCATACACTATGACCACTAGTTTCTGAAGCAGCGTGTATAATGCAGCTGCCGGTTATAGAGGCGAGTAACTATTGATCCTGCAGCCTCTAGAGGGAAAGAGACGTGCCGCCGCCACCGCTGCCGCTGCTGCTGCTACGGCTGCCGCAGATTTCAGCAACGTCATTCGAGAGAAGGAGAGAAAGAGAGTGACGTATCGTGGGAATAGAAGGTCCAAACTCCTTTCCGGAGAGGGCTTTGCTCGCCATTGTACTCGAACGGAGAACAGGCCACGTGCTTCACGTGCATCGGCTACGTGAATGGCACCTTGAATGAATAAGAAAGAAATCAACGGAATAACGAACCCGGTTTGGCGATCCACCGTAATGTTATCGCGGGCGTGCACGCGAAGCAACGCGGTCGATCACAGTTTTTGCTCGCTTATCTCATTTTTAACGCGCTTTTCAGAACTATCTTCTCTCGAATCCGACTCCATTCGTTGTTTCCCTAAGATGGAAATTACGTGACGGAAGATTAAATCGAAACGCTGTTTCCGATCGTGACGAGTTATCCGGACGATGGTCGATTCGTATTACAACAATTCATCCCGACCCAAAGTCGAACGTTCTGCCTATTACTTCCTTTTCGTCCTTTGCGATTTCGCGATGCGTGCAAAAAGAAGGAAAAGAAGAAAAAGGAGGCGAACAAAAAGACGGAGAAGAAGAATTCGACGACGAGGAAGAAAGGATCGGGTCGATCCTCTCTTTCGTTCCTTCTTGTCCCTTCGATAGAGGCAGACAAAGGCAAAAGGCGCCTTGCGTTCTCCTCGATGCACTCTCTTTCACTCTTCTTTCTCTTTCATTCACTTTTCTCTCCGTCTCACCTCACCTTGGCCGCGGCCCTTCAACTGTCTGCGACCCACGCCCCACCTTCTCTTCCTCCATCCAGAACCACTACACAACCATTGGTACCAGCATCGAGTTAGCAGCCACCTTCTTCGACCACGAGGGGCAACCTTCTACTTCTTCTTCTTCTTCTTCTTCTTCTTCTTCTTCTTCTTCTCCTTCGTCGTCGTCTTCTTGATCCTCATCCTCGTCCAGATCGTCGTCGACGACGTTGTTTCCTTCTCTTTCAACAACGTGTCTTTCTTCGATTCTTCCTCCTTTTCCCTTCCTCCTTTCCTTCTCTCATTCCCTCCCGGCTGTTCTCCAACTACACGCGAGTATCACTTTTATCGGTGTGCGTGTACCTATCCTCGGTCCACCTGCCTTCTCCAAGTTATTTAGCCAATGGAACCGCCCAGGCTTCGCCCTAGGCGAATTTCCGGAACAAGAGAGAACCTTGAATAAACGGAAATTCGCCGACCTGTCCGTTCCTCGTGGTGAAAAAAAAAAAAAGAAAAAAGAAAAAAAAAGAACGATCGATCGCGGTTTAACTCCGTTTCGAAACATCATCTATCTAAAAGAGGATCCTTCTCTGCTTTCCTCGAGAAACTGTTACTCGTACGTAATAGGATTTGCCCTTCAAACTTCGAAAGAAACTCGAGCTATCGATCCATTGCAAACTTGGAAAGATTCGACGTCGAGGAATCTTTAGAAGAGTGCTTGAGAGTCTGTTGCTCGAGCCATGATAGTTAAGCGACTTGAGAAAAAAATCTAATTAAACGTTAGGCTGGACACAGACAGTTCTTCTATTTTTAAAGTTTGTTTCTACGACTTTCATCTTTCTGTATTAAACGAAGTTTTTCAAAGTTTGTCGTTGTCTAATTTGAATTGTATTAAGAAAGTTGAGGAGAATCTCATGTGTCCGATGGCTAATGAATTTTACGAGAAGCCAATAATAAAAATGAGAATGCACAGAAGAGTGGTGGGGAGTATCATTGATCTAATTGAATTTTTTAATGCGACATTTCTGAATTCCTATACATTATTCGATAGTTGGACCAAATTATATTAACCGATTTATGATCGTGTCATCTCGTTGATGCAATATATTTGCAAGATCATTGTAATCATCAAGTGTGTTAAGTAATCATCAAGAATAGATAACAAAGAAAATACGTTGTTATATTAACAGTTTGAAATTGCGATTCTTTGTCGAAGAATGCGGGAGAAGAGTAGATTGACAAGTTTAAATTAAAAATTTCGATACGAAAATCATCCTTTGTTTTTTCCAAAAGAAATAAATAATATTGGAATATTTTTAATTTTTAATTTACGGATTTAAATCTTCTTTAATAAAATATATATTTTATAAATAATTATATTATATACAATTTATAATAATTTTTCTAAATGATTGGTTCAATTTTCCTAGAAACTTTGGCAGAAATATTTTCTTGAAACTTAGATCTTATTCTATCGAAACTCTTCGCAACAGTACAATTATTTAACGATACCTAATAAAACTAGTTCTTGTTTCAATCAAGATTCCACCAATGGGAATCCTCCGTCGAACGCTATTTCCATAGCTTTCACGGGACATCGATATGGTTCTTCACAGGCTAGCCAGCCCTCTAATTTTTATTCCCCTCGATTTCTACGTCTTTCTTCTCGTCTACGGCAGGCCCAAGGCATCTCTCGCCGTTGTATCCTTGGGCAAATTTATGCCTCTTCAGATTACGGATAATAATGGTTACCCTTGTGCCGTGGCGAGCTCGTCTTAACAATTTGCCAGCTAGAATTACGACCGAGTTTCCCCCGCAGCGTTTTATCGCTACTATAACCGATGCACCTAGTCATTGGCATGCACGATTTCGAGTTCGATCCGAAAATTTCCGTCCCTCTTCTTTTTCCCTTTTCTTGTCTTTCGATACGCCAGTCGCACGAGCTCGTCTCATTTAAGTTTGAATCCAGGAGGATCCACAATCGGAAGTCAATCATTGAAAATGGTTTGCTTAGTTCAAAAAATCTTTTCATCGCTCGATCGACGGTCGAGTATTGACTTGAATCGATTTGTCAATTTACGAACAAAATTTAAACGATAAAGAGATTGCGTTAAGTGGATAGTTTAGTTTGTTAAATTAAGTTTCCTCTCGACTTGACTTTCGAATCGAAGAGTTTTTGCTCTCCTATTTCCTTTATCACGACGATAATAATTAATCAGTTGTTCGAGTTATTCGTTGTATTTGATTATTATCGTTCTTGCTTTGGATTTATACGTATTGAAAAAAAAAAAAAATTAGTTAGAATGCGAGAAAATGTTAACCTAACCTATGAATATTAAGGTATAAGTTGTAATATATAACTGATCACAATTGTTAATTAAAATTTTGATGGATGACTATAATAATCTTTAATATACAACGGACGTGTTCAATGTTAGGGGACTGCAGTCACCTTCGGTAACGAAAGGGTAAACCCCTCGCCTTATGATTTTCTTAGTAGCTACTTAAGCTGAGCGTTAGCTATTCACTGCTGTAACTCACGTCGGATGCAAAATACTGAAATATCGTATATGGATAATTTGTATTTTAACAACTCTTACCAGCATTCTCTTAATTTATTCGAGAACTTTGGAAAAAAATTGTTGTTTCGAATATTATCGAACAAACATTCCGATATTTTACTCTTTGCCTCTTGAAAAAATTCTTGGCAATTTTTCTTTCTTTCCTTTTTTTTTTACGGCGAAGAAAACGAGTCGAGAATACCGTACAGAACTAATCCGAAAAAATAAAGACTATGAGTTGGATCCCTCCGAGCTAAACTCTGGTCGCAAACACAATCTTCCTTTGTCGAACTTAAACCATAATCCGAATAACTCGATATCCAAAGGAATCGTAACCTTGTTTAGCTTCCAGAACGAGACACTTTCATACTTTTGGCAAACCCATCGGACTTCGAAATGAAATACGCGCTGAACGACGCGATATTATATCCTTGGACGAGGATTTACAACGTTAATAAAAGTGGGACGAGAACTGGGATTTTTGGTTTCGCATCGATATGCAATTTCTGCAAGGAATAATAATAATAATAATAATAATAATAATAATAATAATAATAATAATAATAAAGAATCCAGTTTTTCATCCAGTCCAGTTTTCCTCGAGTAGAAATTAAATTGATCCCAACGTAACGAGAGATTTTCTACCTTGGTTGAATAGAAGGATACTTTTTATTCATTTCTTCGAGGATCCTTGAAAGTTGTACTAGTTAGTTCGTAAATTTATCCAAGCCTCTCGGATCCTCGATTTCGATGGGAAAGCGAATTTCATGCACGCGATTCAGCAATCGGAGAAAAACAGAAAAAGGGGTGGTGGAGGGATGGAAAGGTGCGTAACCGTTGAATGAACATAATCGTCGAAGGTAAACCGGTTGGAAGGAAGAAAGAAGGAAGGAAGGAAGGAAGGAAGGAAGGGAGACGGTTGGAAGGTTTGGGTAGCACAATGGTGGTTCCGAAAATAAAGCGTGATCGATGAAACTGAAAACAGGATTTATCCTTATCCTGGAGATTCGTGCGTGGATCATTCCTGTCTTGTCTGCTCGTCGTTACGAAATCAATTTTTCATAAGTCGCACGATTGACCTTTGTGCCTCGCAACTATGGTTCGCGATCCCATCGGGATTAGCATGGTGCGCGTGTAATCTACAAGAGAACAAGAGGGAGGGAGGGAGGGAGAGAGAGAGAGAGGGAGAAATCGATTTCGAACGCGAGCAATGCCCTGGCCCTGATTATAATATATGCTTCGCTAACTGTCGCGGAATTATCCCGGACGATTATTCGCGGAATTGCATAGATGGAGCAAGCATCCGCGTTATCTCGGACACGCGATAGGTTTTTATCTTGGTTGGCAACGGGAGAGTTGGTAAGAAAAATTAAATTTGTATTTTTTTTTCCTTTTTACGTGTGTAAATTACACCTTAGTGATCGAATCGTTGGTGTTTCTCGAATGAAAACGTAAAGAAAAAAAAAAAAAGGAAACGAATTAAAATTTTAATAACAATTGCTTAATAACAATTGAAATTGATTACGTATCTAATTATTAATCGAGACACTATTTAAGATTATTGGTAAAGAAAGTTATTGGCTAGAGAGAGCGCAGTGTTTTTCCGCGAGAAAATTCGCTGAATTGATCGGACTTCCGCGAATAAAGGAGGCTCTCCGGCTGGTTATAGGCGCAATTACGCTCGCGCCCCCGAGACGACCTCGCGTCGCGGCTCTCGTGTCCCTTTCCTCTCTCGCGTTTAAACGCCTCGAATCGCGTTGTGGCGTGCAGTTAAGGCCGTATCGATGTCAAGATTGTGCCGCAGCGGCTGTCCCTGAAGAGCCATGGACGTGACATTGTCGCGTCGCGCAAGGACTACGTACCCGACCAAGGGAAACGTTTAAACCTCGTACAGAGAATGTTCTCACCGACCTCTATAGGCAGCAGCCGCAATGGCCAGAAATCTTATTCGATCGAACGAACTGTGTTATCTGACCACCCTTTTGTACCCAAGCCTACGATCGATGGCTTGTTATATTTTTGTGACTGGTTTTCTTTTGGTAGGAAGTAGAAAGGAATAATTGTGCAAAAAGATGTATCATATATATATAAAGTAGAAAAAGATTTTTATCAATTTTCATCGAGTTCTTCCTGTCAATAGAATCGTGAAATTATTATGCTAGATTTTATTACGATATTTATGTATGTTGGTATATACGGAGGATAATTATATCACGTATCATTGCGCACGAATTTCATTACACTCTTTTTTACGTTTAAAATAAACACACGCATTCCATTCCACATTCCAAGGATCAAACTCCCCTTGGTCAACGACACGCGAAGACCACGAGCCATCCTCGACCATGCCCCGTGCCTCCTCCTCCGCTCTCGATCGGAGGGGAAAAACCATGGCCGACCACTTTCCTATCTAAATCAACTTCAAAATCGCCGTGTGATTTACGATTACCGAGATTTTCGATAGATTCAATCGAAAAAGAAAAAAAAAAGAAAAAGAAAAAGAAGAAAAAACCTCCCTAATGAACGCGAAATCGCGCTGGAAATGTTGGAAGAGGAGAAAGAGAGAGAAAGAGACAAAGGAGAGGTTCAATGGTATGCGAGGGAGAGAGCAGTCGCGTGTGTCGTTGCTTCGCCGAAGGAGAGAGTGAACTGAATGAAAGGGAGAGAGGGGCAGAGGGAGAGGAGAGAAAGAGGAGGAGGAGGATGAAGACCGCGAAGGATAGCCGCGGGAAGGAGAAAGGTGGACGCCTGAGGACGGAGACGGACGGAAGAAGGTGATCGAGCGTTGAAGAAGGAAAGGTAGAGGAGTGGTTCACCTGCATTGCTAGCATTGCGCCGGCTCAAGGCCAGGGAGTCTGCGAGACCGAGGACCAGACCGGGTCGGGACCTCCTTCCTTCCAGTTTCCTGCACCCTGTCCTCTCTCTCTTTCTCTCTCTTCTTTCTCTTTCTCTGCCTCCTGCCCGCGTCTTCTTCTTCTTCCTTCTTCCATCCCATCCCAACCTCTTACAGCTTCTCTTCTTTTTCGTACCGCGACGTGTGGATCTCGCGTTGTGTACAGACAATTGCGTCACAGACAAAACCGTCTCCTCTCTCTCTTTACCACTATAGGTTCTCACATTTGTTGCTGCGTTGGGTGGATACGGTTGGGAGGATATTATAGGTTTTCGGGTGTCCGTGGTTGGATCGTGGAAGAGATGGAGGAGATTTCATTTATTTAGATACGAAGGAACGTATATATATATACATGTGTGTGTTTTTCGTTTAAGGAGAATTGGAGAAGTGGTCAAGTGATCGTTCACATTGATAAAGTTAATGCACTTTGCTTTACATCCTTTTGCTCGTTTCATCCGATATCTCGATCTCATTCTTGTTACACGTATTACAACGCAACGTGTCAGCACCTGAGATATATTTTAACCGACGTGTTATTACGACATTTTATAGATATATTTTTATTATAGAGGCATTAAACCGTGTTTGTAACAAAATGGACTCTTTAAACCGTATTATACGCGTTAAATTTATATTACAACGCACGGTATACGTTAAATCATAAATTTCGATCCCCTTCATCTTTGTGGAAAAGTAATACGATTATCATGCCCAGTAAGATCGTATCGAACTTTGGAAGAAAGGGGGAAAAAAGCAGCCCAACTGATTATATATACATACATACATACATATAAAACTGTTTTTTAGCGCTCATTCCTATCGTGACGCAACTGGAGAGCTGATAGCTTGTTTCTATCTGGCGGTTTCCAGGAACATTGGATCTAAACGATCGTTCCCCGTTTGATTGCAGGTTGTAAAATCAAAGCACTCCGAGCGAAGACCAACACTTACATCAAGACCCCGGTGCGCGGCGAGGAGCCAGTGTTCGTGGTAACGGGGCGCAAGGAGGACGTGGCCCGCGCGAAGCGCGAGATACTCTCGGCCGCCGAGCATTTCTCCCAGATCCGTGCCTCCCGCAAGAGCTCGTTGGGCGCCCTGTTGGGCGCGCCCCCCGGCCCACCAGCTTCCGTTCCAGGCCACGTGACGATTCAGGTACGAGTCCCGTACAGAGTAGTCGGGCTTGTGGTAGGACCGAAGGGCGCGACCATCAAGAGAATCCAGCACCAGACCCACACCTACATAGTGACGCCGAGCCGCGACAAGGAGCCGGTGTTCGAGGTGACGGGACTACCCGAAAGCGTGGAGGCTGCGAGGCGCGAGATCGAGGCACACATAGCACTTAGAACCGGCACAGGAACCACCCTCGACGATTCGGAACTGCTAAGCGTCCTCTGTCGCGGTGGCCTGGGCTCGATCCTCGGTTGCCTCGACCCACCGGGCTCGAACGGCTCGAACGGATCCAGCGGAGCGTTCTCCAGCAGTGGCAGTTGCAGTAGCTCGTCCAGTAGTTCCGGCGCGCCTGGGCTGAACGATCTCGTCGCGATTTGGGGCGCTGGGATGGAGAGGGACGAGGGCCTAGGGGAGTCGCCCTCCTTCGAGTCCCAAACGGCGTCCGCCTCCTCGATCTGGTCGTTCCCAGGCGTCGCGCTACCCTCGAGGCCATCCCCGCCGGCGTCAGCGAGCCCGACGTCGCCCACGGACTCGCTGTTGGGCGGTGGACGGCGGGAATGCGTGGTGTGCGGCGACAAGGAGGTCACCGCCGCCCTCGTCCCATGCGGACACAATCACTTCTGCCTGGACTGCGGCAACCGGGTCTGCGAGAGTTCCGACCCAAGCTGCCCCGTGTGCTCCAGGCCCGTGTTACAGGCGCTTCGTATCTTCTCTTAAGCACCGGGACCGGAGCCGGCGGGACAGATCCCCCCTCCTCCCCCAGGCTCCGAACTGCGTCGCGGCACCTGGTACAGCGGCTCTATAACGATTCTCACCATCGATCAATCATGATATTGTCTGCTCTTCGACTTTTGGCGGCTCATCCAGGAACGACGGCGCTGGAGAACGCCCATCCCGAATTTTTCCGTATATAAGAGAGAAAAAAAGAAAAAAAAGAAAAAAAAAAAAAAAAAAATTATGCTCGCGTCCCCACGAAACGTCTCGCGAAACGGTGCGCGAAAAATCCCGTTGCGACGTCGGGGGACCGGACGCGCACAATGTCTCAATTCCACTGCTGCCAATAACCTCTTCTACGCGCCGGGAATGCCCCGATATAAATGCTATTTGTCGCGTCGTTCCCGCCGACCGAATACAACGAAGTCAGCTTTTAAGTTCTACGAGAATATATAGAACGAGAGAGTGGGAGAGAAAGAGAAAGAGAAAGAGTAAGAGTGTGAGATAGAGAGAGAGAGAGAGAGAAAGGGAGGATGGGAGGAAGGGAGGGAGGGAAAGAAAAAGGTAATGTGCGTTTGCGTGAGAGAGAAACAGAGAGAGATAGAGCAGCGAGAGAACGAGAGCGCGAAAGAGAGTGAGAACGAGAGGGAGAGAAAGAGATGAAGTAACATACTCGCTCATTCATTGTCATCGTTTTCATACTTTTAACCCTCGATATAATATAACATACGTAGCTTATAGTCCGGCTCGCAGGTTTACGTGTTTATACGTAAAGAATTACAAAAGAAGGACAAAGTGGATCGAGCTGAAACGCGTAACGGAGAGCAATGAGACGGGCGCGATCATTTTATCTTATCGTGAACGCGGCGAATCTGTAATGTGTGGAAGAAGGATACGTTTGGCTTTGCCGTATTTTATGGGATTGCCTTCGAAATATCGGGAAATGTTTGACACGCACGCACGATTCTATAACCTTGGTCGGTAGCGAAGATTTTGTCGACCATACTTATTCAGCTCAGTGACGCTACACTTATTCAGCTCAGAATCAAACGAATTAGACCCGAACGTAGTGCGTTTCGATATTGCAATAACATTCCATTCGCTGATCGTATTCATCATCATGGTATATTCGTATTTTTCTACAAATTCTTTTTGTATCGAAGGCAGTCTAGATAATGGAATGGACGAATTTAATCGAATCAATCGAGTTTTTATCGATGTAACATTTTTAATTAACATAGACGTTATTATTTTTATATAATTGACAATCCACGGTGAGAATCGGTGTTCTTATATATATATATACATATATACGTACGGGAACGAGACTCGGATAGTTTTTAAATATTTTTGTATGTTGTCCTTCTTCCACCGTATCGCGCGTGAAATATCGAAGCCGTAATTTCTATTGCGTTATTATCCGCGAAATATTGTAAAACGCTATATCAAAGGTGCTTGCGAACACTGATATATAAAATTTTTACGAGCTCTATATTTTTATTTAGAAAACGTACCATTCATGGTAAACGTCCTATTTATCGTTCTGAACGTTATATGTATGGGAATTACGAGCTTCGATTTTCACGAATAAAGACATGCTTTTGAAAGGTTAAAAAGCGCAGTTGCAGCAGAAGTCGTTCGCTCTCTCGATCGTTACGCTCTTCTCCTATGATCACGTGGCCAATAATTCAAAGATGGCGGCGCATGAGGCGCACAGCTGATCGTGTCGTCTTAAAAAAAAAAAAAAAAAACGAAAAGACTTGAAAATGCATGACGCATAAGAAATCGTAATTATTCTTCTTCCTTGTAACAAAATGTGAATCTCAGAAAATGTTTAAAATGTTTTCGTATCTTTTATAAAAAATCTCTCTAAGCTAAAATAAAAAGGCTAGGTTAGATCACGTGATCATAGGTGAAGTGTTTGATGCGTTAATCAAACGATATAAATCGGAGTATAAAAAGAGAATAGATGACGAAGGAAGGTCGTACATCCTCCGATAGTTAAGTTTTTGAAATTTTTTTCATTATTACTTTATTTATATATTAATCAAAATAATTAATCCCATTGCTCGTTTTCGATTAGCGAATAAGATAATCTGGGATATCATTGAGATATTTATTCTTCTCTGATTACTCTTTTCATCTCATGACAAGTGAAAACTTTTCATTCTTCACTATATTGCGACACTATCGGCAGATGCATCGACGTTACTCGAACTTCCGGGACCTGCGAGCTTATCGTACATAATCGCAGCGAACGATTACCGAACAAATTGCCCAAATACTTGACGTAACTTGTACTCGATACACTATCACCCATACCTATACATAAATACACACGTACTACACATATTACAAACAGCCGATCTCATATATATATATACAGGCACACATCGCACGAAAAGAAAAGAGATTAAAAAGGAGAAAGGAGAAAAAAAACAGGGTGAGTGGTCACGTGTCCCTCGATTTGCCACGAAATTATTTATAGATGATAGTATTATTAAAACGGCGTGCCCGTTCCACCCAGCCTCCCTCGCTACTAGAGTATTATCTTATCTTTATATAAGCGACATAGCAATTGAAATAATAATAATAATAATAATAATAATAATAATAATAATAATAATAATAATAATAATAATAATAATAATATTAATAACAATAATAATAATAATATTAATAATAATAATAATAATAATATTAATAATATTAATAATAATAATAATATATATTATATATATAAACATAAATAAATATATTATATATATTATATATATATATATATGGTGTCAGGAAAAAAAAGTCTGACGACAGTAAGATGGATGATATTTTATCGAGGAGATTTAGATTTTGTATTTTTCGCGCGTTTCGTCGACGGGACGACGGGTGGTCAGGGACAGTTGCACACGCCGGTTACAAAGGGAAATTATTATTAAGAGTTCTATAAGGGGAATAATAAACCGGCGAAAAAGAGGGGAGGGGGGGAAGAAGCGGAAAAATGAAGAAAAAAATAAAAAAAGACGGCGCTTAAGGGAAACAAAAAAAAGAAAAAAAAGAAAAAATGTTTTAAGATTATACGGGGCGCATCGCGGGTACGCGTGAACCGGCTTCTCCCTGATCGCTAAAAGAACGAGAACAAGGAAGAAAGAAAGGAGAGAAAAGAAAGGAGAAGAAGAAGGAGAGAAAAAAAAAAAAGAAACGCCGTCGGTCGATCCCCACGGGGTGCGGTCGACTTTTATTCCTCCCCTCTAAATGTATTCTTCGAGCCCTAAATAATAATCCGAGTAATAACCCGCTCTTTCAAAAGGAAATACTAAACCGATGTATCTTTCACCGTAGGGATCGACGACCCGTGTACATTTAGCTTTTCTTTCTCGACAGTCGTAATTATATTATTATATTATATTGCATTATTATATTGCATATAGATATATATATATATATCGAAACGACATTAGTACGCGTCACCGTGTCCTCTCGTTAAGAGAATACGAGTGCGTATATTTTTCTTTTCCATTTAACGTTATCACTTTTCTCGTTCCATCTTCGCGTACTTGTCCTTGATACGTCTTGCGATTTCGATAGAACGATAAAAGTCATAACCCGCGCCATATAGCGGATAGGGGGATAAGAAATTGCGATGCTCGTCCTTCACTAGGAACGAAAGGATGATCGGTACGTGTCTTTATGTTCCAATTCACTTTCTTCCTTTTCTTTTTTTTTTTTTCTTTTTCCTTCTTTCATCGAGAAACATTGTTCGTTCGTGTAATCGCGTTTCGGAAGGGAAAAAAAGCTGGACAAACGATCCTTATCGCTCAAGAGCAAGACGAACGTTGGCCCACTTTTTTTTGGACATCAAGGAGAGAAAAAAGCCGAGGAACGAAACTATTACAGTACGACGTTAAGGGAGGAGCGAAAGGATCATCCATGATCCACGTGGCCCTTTTTTCTATTGCTTATTTTTATATATATATATATATATATATGTATATCTTTTGTTTTATATTTATGCTGATTTTAAATTCGATTTGAACCTGCCTTCTTTCTTCCTCCGCTTTTTTTCGCTCGTTGCGTGATCCTTCTTCGTTATTTAGTATTCTATTACTAACTACTCTTGCTACTTTTGTGCGAAACTTTTTATTTTCCCTTCGTTTCTTTTCTAGTTTTTCTTTTATATCGACGAAAACTTCTTGTCAATCGTTGCCATTTTTAAACGAAGATATGCTCAAGTCGCAGCTCCGAACAAGTCGAGGTATATTATTAATACATATTACATATAAAGTATATATTATATATATATATATTATTTTATATATATATATATATATATAATACGCGTCATCCAATGTTGGATATAACGGATGATTGAATATAAAGAAGATATTTTTTCGGATCGTTCGAGCCGCAGCTCTGTATAGCGGGTGTCTCGGTAGTTTCTCACCCCCTTCGTTTTTTATTTTTATTTTTAATATTATTTTTATTTTATATTATTTTTATTTTCTCTTTTTTATATACATATATATACATATATATACATATATATATATATATATGTGTATATATATATTAGATCGTTCAGCAGGTGTCTTTGTTAAACGCGTGTTGTTTCGTTTCGAACATCCTATGAAACCCTTCCCCCCAAATCACTATTACTCGTGTGTCATACTTTTTATACGAGAAAAAAAGAAAAGCAAGAAAAAATCTTCTTTCTTGTCAAAAGTGCATTCTCTTCGTGAGCTATCGATTTATCGAAACGAATACAAGTAATATAGGTACACACGCATACATACACACACAAAGTTTTTCACACAGTTTCATCACGCAGTATCCCTACATCTGTACCCCAGCTTTCGTATAGAGACGCGATGAATCTTAGCGCCAATGTATATATATATATATATATCTATCTAATATATATATATTAGATACATATGTATGATATTATTTGTTGTTCCACAGGACATCACTCATCCTGTCAAACAGGAATCACAAATTCACTCTTAGATGCAAGGAATTCTTCTGAAACATACGCTTACACACATGCCCACACATGTACATACACGTCCAAACGACAGACACATGCGAACGCAATCTAATATGCACGACACGTACATACATACCTACATACTGACATACACACAGATTTACACGCGCACACGCACATACAGTTACACACGAAAAATTAAAAAAAAAAGTCGTATATTTATATATATACATATATGTACGCATTATATATGTATACATATATATATCATAATCGACGTTCGAGAGAGAGAGAGAGAGAGAGAGAGAGAGAAAAGAGAGAGAGAAGAAAGAGAGAAAAGAGAGAGAGAGAGATTTATTATATTTAAGTTTTTTTCGAGGCAAAGTAAATTCTATATTTTTTCTATGTTAAGTATAAATTAGAAAGATTGAGAGAGAGTGATTGATAGTGAATAAATGAAAGAAAAGATGCATAAAAGGTATGGTGATGATATAAACATATATTATATTATTATATTATATTATA